ATCCTCCCCCCCGCCCCGCACCCTCCCAACCCTAACCCCAAATATACTCCACTCTGCAACCCTCATTCCAAACTCTTATGATAATCATAATGCCCTAAAATATATTATTTTTAAACTGTTCTATCCCTCATTGGCTTCAATGCAGTATACATAATTTTAAAAGACAAAAAAAGTGACTTTTACAGATGGATGTCATGCGATAGGCTGCATGAAAATCAGACCAAGCACATCTGTGGAAGAAATCATTGAAGAAGCTCAATGTCGGCAGTTAAAATTAGGCCAGGGGTGGTCTGTGGGTCAAACCACTAAATTCTAAAATGCAAGTTCAAACTGAGGCTGAAGAAAATGAAAATAAGTCCTTAAGAACCAAGATAAGATATTTAATCTATTTTATCTGAATTTCAATATCATCTTAGAAATAGGTTTGAGGCATTGAACACCAATGACCAAAGAACAGATGAGTTGTAGGAGAATATTAAGGATCTCATCCACAAGGAGAGCAAAAGGTCTTCACAAAGACAGAGGCGAAAGAAAAAGCCAAAGGGATGTCAGAAGAGACTCTGAAAATTGCACTTGAGTGTCCAGAAGCCAAAACAAAGGGAAAACACACAGAAGAAAAAGAATGGAACAGAAGTTTTCAAAGAGTAGCTCAAAAGTATTATAATGGAATGTGCAGAAAGCTGGAATTGGAAATTAAAAAGGGAAGAACTCTACTTCTCGAGTTGAGAACTGAAAAACAAACTTAAACCTCAAATTGCAATACTGAAATATGCTATGGGCAATAGACTGAATGACCCAGAGAGCATCAAAAGAAGATGGAGAGAATACACAGAATCACTATACCAAAAAGAACTAATTGACACTGAAATATTTCAGAAAAACACCATCTGAGCAGGAGCCAATGGTAATGAAGGATGAGGTGGAAGATGTACTGAAAGTACTTGCAAAAAATAAGGCCCCAGGAATTGATGGGATACCAATTAACTTATTTCAATTAACAGATGTAGCTTTGGATGCGCTCACCAGTCTATGCCAGAATATTTGCAGCTGTCAGGCCAATGGATTGGACAAGGTTCGTATCTGTTCTCAGTTGCAAGAGAAGTGATCCAACAGAATGTGGAAACCATAAAAGAATATCTATAATAATATCTATATCTATAATAATAAAACTA